GGATACAAGGGGATTCTTATGGGTCTAACACAGGGCTAAAACGACATATAGTAAATGCTGGTCACCCAAAATGTCGTTTTTGATTCATCCAAAATAAAAGTAATATATTAACAAAAACGATAACATTAAATAGCTAATAGAATTTTCTTATTTTACTATTGTTCTTTGATCACAATAATTCTACATTAAATTGCTAATATAATATTCTTATTTACTATCGTACTTTGATCACAATAATTAATTATCAAGAACACCACTTTGGGGCCAGCATTACTATATGCCGTTTAGCCCTGGTCTAACAGTAGCCCACACGTGTAACTATAAATAAAAATGCAGTGTTTATATGTACAGCCAACTATTAGTTCGGTATAAAAAGAGTTATGGTTTCTTAAGAAAAACATAATAACTTATATATTGAACTTTTTTTTTTCTACAGTTAGAACCAACAATTCGCTATTAAAAGAGTTGACTGTATTTTTTTGTCAAGGATTTACGCGTAAAGTTGTTATTTAAGATTCGACACCTTTTAATTTTTGTTGTGAAAGAAAAATGAGCCAAACAGGCGCAGAGATTTACGAATTAGGAAAGAGGTACCTTTATGGCGACAATATTGAAAAAAATGAGCAAAAAGCCATTGAATGTTTTCAAAAAGCTGCAGATCTAGGTGATTCAGACGCAGTATGCAGAATTGGTAATTGAATATTATAAAAATGCTGCCGATATGGGTAATTCCAATGCAATTTATATTCTCGCTGTTTTTTATTTACTAGGAAATGGTGTTGAAAAGGACGAACAAAAGGCGTACGAGTATTATAAAAAAGCTGCAGATTTAGATCACTCCGGAGCAATTTACGGAGTTGGTTATTGTTATGAATTTGAATTCGGAATCGAAAAGGACGATCAAAAAGCGTTCGAATATTATAAAAAATCTGCAGATCTAGGTTATTCCGAAGCAATGAACGCAATTGGTCGTTGTTATACATATGGAGTCGGAGTCGAAAAAGACGAACAAAAGGCGTTCGAATATTATAAAAAATCTGCCGATATGGGTCATGTTGATGCATTATATACTGTCGCGAATTCTTATTTTCAAGGAAATGGAGTCAAAAAAGATGAAAAAAAAGCATTTGAATATGTTACAAAATCTGCTAATATGGATAATGCTAGTGGAGTAGATTTTATGGGCTTATATTACTTAAAAGGATTTGGTGGAATTGAAAAAAATGGAGAAAAGGCTTTTGAATGCTTCATGAAATCTTATGATATGGGAAATTCAGAATCGGCACTTAATATTGGCGATTGTTATCGGAGTGGAATCGGTGTACCAAGAGATATACAACGAGCCAATCATTGGTATAGAAAAATAAAAGGCATATTGAAAATAGATAACACATCATTTGAAGATATTGATAATTTTTTAAAAGAATTATTACTTGATGAAAAATATCAGTTATCATGGATTCCGTATGATGAATTCAAAGATAAAAGAGAGTTAGGGAAAGGTGGATTCGCAACTGTATATTACGCGTATTGGTTAAGTAAAAGCAGAAATTATTATACAGAAGTTGCGCTTAAGCTAGTTCATAATTCGAATAAATTTAATCAAAATTTTATTGAGGAGGTAATACAGTAATTATATTTTATTCATTATATTTTTTTTAAAAAAAAAAAATTAAACTAATTCGATAATAGTTAAAAAGATATTGTGAAATAGGATATGAAAACCCATCGTTTTTAAAATGTTATGGAGTGTCAAAAGACAAAGATTCTGGCGATTATATTATTGTTTTGGAATATGCGAATAAGGGTTCTTTAAATCTAAATCTTCAAGAAGTGGTACAAATGAACTGGAAAAACAAACTAAATTTATTGCATTGCATCGTTTCTGATCTTGAATCAATTCATTCTCAAGAACTTATTCATCGAGATTTTCATAGCGGAAACGTCTTGCAAAATCATTTACATAGCGCGTTTGTTACGGATCTAGGACTTACATCAAATAAAGAAACAGAGAAAGAAATTTTTGGTGTTTTACCTTATGTTGCCCCTGAAGTTTTAAAATATGGAAGGTTTACTCAAGCATCAGATATCTACGGGTTAGGAATTATCATGACTGAAATAGCATCTGGACGACTAGCTTTTGATGGTTGCAAGTTTACTACTAAACTTTCTGTAGAGATCATTCGTAATGGATTGCGACCAGAAATTCCTTCTGGAACACCTGATTGCTACATAAAATTGGCCAGACGATGCATGGATTCTGATCCCAAAAAACGACCTACTGCAGCCATCTTAAATTACAAAATTGGCCATTGGCTCGACGAGATGAACCAAGAGGACGAAAACGATATCAAAAAACAATTCTTGGATGCTGACAAGATCAAACCGAAACTGATCGAACAGATACATCCTCCTCATATGTATACTAGCAAACTCATTAACACGCGAGCAATTAGCACTAAAATATGATGCAATATTTTTATTTATTTATTTGATTTTTTTAAAGGCTTTTATGAAATAAATTTATGTTATAACTATTATATATTTGTATTTTTTTTGACTTTATTTTATATATACAATTATGTATTACTTTATAAATTACAAATTTGCATAATTTAAATAAAACAAGTAGATTTAGTACCCAAAAAATTTTTTTTGAGGGTCAATTCGTTTGACATGGTGATCGCCACAAAAAAAAAAAAAATTATATGCTACTTGAACTACGTGGCAACAACACAATAGCGATAGTGCTGCTAGTGGAATTTATTTTTCATTACTATTTTCCTATTCATCCTTTTACTTATATATCTCTCTTTAAAGATAACAATATACATAATGTCAAACGAAATGCTCTGTAGGCTTAGAAGTCAAATGATATGTCTAAGTAGGGCTCTAACAAATAGGAAGCAGATGGGTTTGACACATGATTTACATAATCATTTATATCCTTAAAATTATTTAAGGTATATTTTAATTATTAGAGTAATTGTTTTGTACATTTGAACAATTGATTATATGAAAATATGAAAATTTGGTGTGAATAGTTGTTACTCTCAAGTGGCAGATTAGAAGTTTGAATTCTATTGATATCTATCTTTGAAAAAAATTATTATGTAACTTTTTTATATATATTCTAAAAAAATTTATATAAATTAAATTCTTATACCTAAATCATTGTTTTAACCCACAATAAACAAGATTTTATCAGTGTAATAATCGGTAATCACCTATAATTTTAGTTGCATAATATAAAAGTTGACAAATTCAAATAAATTCGGTTAATATTATTAAAATATGGGATAAAAGCTTCAAGTTTATTTAGTAAACTTTATCATATTTTATAACAAAAAAATATGGTATGACAAAATATTTTTCATTATATGACAGCTAGATATTTATTTTTATTAAAATTTTCTTTTTTGAAGTTAGATAATCTCTTGGATTTAGAATTTTATTAGCTTTCTAGAGCATAATCACCGTAATAGGCTTTTTACATTCAATATACTGTAATTTTTAAAAGAATACAACTAGTTACACATAAGACATATGAAAGTTCTACCGCTGCTAGTTCATATGTGAATTATATAAAATTAATCTTACCTAATTATGATTATTAACCTACCGTCACAGCTACAGTAACAAGAAATAATTACAATAATTTGAATCTCCCAATTTTTCTTTTTTTTTTTACAAAATTTGCCTCAGAATTCTTTTTATGGATAGAATATTTTATTATCTTCTTGTGATTTATTACTTAGGTTTAAAACAAGTTTTGACCAACTTTTATTCTAATGTAATTTAAAATTTTAAATATTATTGTTTATAATTTGAAAACTTCTGATTTTTAATTTTTTTTTCATTTCATTATTCACAAGGGATCCGTTATATAGTAATAATAACACTTTACGACTCGATTAATACAGGAGATTTCCGATGGGTTATATACTGCAATAATCAGGAAATAATTCTTCGGATTTTTTTTTGATTTCATTTATGACAATCGCAAACTTAACTCTGAAGAAAAGGAACATATGTGAAAGCATTGAAATCATTGAAAATAAAAGAGGAAGCTAAACTAAATACGTTATGCATATATTGTCAATCCGAAATACCTATATAATATCATTGCACTAATAATAGTATATTCAGTCAAATTTTAATAATTGATCGATAAACTTATTCAAGAGTTTCAACTTAAAAATTTTTCGAATCCATCTGATTTGATTGAATGGGTACATTATGAAAAATTTGATGAGGTTCAGTATAAATCGAAAGGAGAATTTTCAACTATTAATACTGCCACATGGAAGAGTGTTGGATTAATGAACATGATCGAAAGTTCTTAAGATCTGGATCTCAACAAATTATCTTAAAAGCTCTAAACGATTCTAGTGATCCAAATGATACTTTTTTCAAAGAGGTTTGTATTAATTTATATTAAATTTATAATACATGTATGATAAAAAAAAAATTTTTTTTATTTATATAGTAACTTTATATATTTTTTAGGCACTTGCTTATCTTGAAATTTTTAAGGATAATAATTTATCTACGTCGCTTATTAATTGTTTCAGTATGACACAGCATCCAATAAGTAGTGGTTATATGTTAATTTTAAGAGTTGCACGTAATGGAGATCTGAATGATTTTTTTAAAAGTAAATCTAAGCTTACTTGGTTAGATAGGTAGATATTCTTTACTTCTTGACGTAACCTCGGCTTTTAAAGAAATTCATAATAATTATATGGTACATAAATATCTCCCCCATGGCAACATCTTATTAGATGGAAAAAGATGGTTATTATGTGAGTTAAGATTTTGTGGACCAGCTAATAAAGGACAAACTTTCAGAATCATACCATATGTTGCACCAGAAGCGGAGATTATCTGATATATACAGTATAGGAATTATTATATGTGTAATTACATCAAGGTACCATCCTTTTAGTGATCGAGAATATGATCATGATCTTGCCACTAATATTTACTTTGTATTAAGACCAACGATTACTTT